CATCCCTGAAATGAGATCTCTGAGGGTGGCCAGACAGCTTTAGGAAAAAAAAAAATTATAATAGAGACCAAGAGTCACAGTGCAGATGTGGAAGATGTAGATTCAAGTTCCTCTTCAGCTTTAGTTAATACAAATCTGAGCCCAACTTCCCTCTCCCTCCCCAGGGCTGCTCTGGGTATTGTGGGGAGTCAGCCAGTAACCCCAATGATAATGTTTTTCAGCACTGCATCCATACACATGTGCTGCAATGGGAAGCAGGAACTTGCTTCTTGGGTGAGTGCCTAGCCCCTCACTGCGGAGCAGCCCACACTGCTCCTTTCTTGCTGGAAATGTTACTGTTTGATTGAGTGAGACATGAAACCACATAGGCAGGGTGGGCCGGGACAGACCTTGTGAGCTGATATAAAAGCCAGTGGCCTGGACAGTCTCGGAGAGGGTCCCTGTCCTGCCCTTGCACCAGGCAGTGGGAGGATTTGACCTTGATGGAGCTACGCTCGGTTTCCTGGGCTCCTTGTCCCTTTTGCAAGGGGTGTGTGTGATGTCTAACTGGGCCATGGGTGGAGGTTTGGGCTGACAGATGGATACACTAGCCTGTGGTTTGCTGTGCTCTGCATCTGCTTCATTCTCCCTACCCTAGAGTGTGCTGTTCCCTTTCAGAAGACGATCCCACCGCAGCTGCAGCCTCCGGGGCCTCCACTCCTGCTGCAAGGCTCGGCCATCGTGCAGCACCTGGGCCGAGGCGTCAAATTCAGTGCCCACATTGACCCTCTCCTCTTTCTGCTGTTTCGCTGGCTTCGCTTCCTTACCCCTCCCCATGTGGGGACATGGCTCGGGGTGGGAGGGAAAGCGGGGCTGTATGCCCAGCAGATCAAACTGGGACACTTGGCAGTGGCCGCTGAAGGGGATGAAGAGACAAAATTGGTCTTTGGGGTGAGATGGGTTTATTTCTGGAGGGCAGGAGCCATTTTGACAGCCCAGAGGCACTGTCGCTGGTGGCAGCCCTCCTTGATGAGGATACATGGGGAGGACATTGTAGGAGGACACCACATCAACTCTCCTTTCCAAGGGGTTTCTTGAGGTGATGTGGATCTTCTCTGGCCGGGGTGGGACCAGCAGAAGGCAGCCTGACGATGGCACAGCACAGCAGCCTGAGGGGGCTGCAACATGGGGCAGAGGGCCAGCGACAACGTGCAACCCACAGCACCCAGGCTGGGCAGGGACCAGTGGCCCTGGGCTGCGATGAAATCAGATCCCTGAGCCCTTGGGCAGGGGTGGGGGGAGGCCCCAGGGGAGACCCCTCCATATAATACTACCAGGTCCCCTCAGGCGCCTGGAGCTTAATGCCTGAGCAAAGTCTGGGGGCCTCAGTCCAGACAAAAATTAAACCCCTGACTGCGGAAGAAGAGCTGTTCCTCTCTTCTGAGTGAGGGAAAGGCTCTTAACTATTTGCTCTTGAAGTCCTAGCTGGCTCCCCCGCTGCTTCTGCATCTTCTGTAAGCAGCAACATCATGTGTGCAACCAGGCACTATTTCTGGCGGTGGCACAAGCTGTGCTGAATTTGCAAACCCCAGCATGGCCGTGCTGGTCCGTCCTGTCCTCTCAAAGTGCAGCAGTCCCTCCCGCAGAGGAGTCCTCCTTCGGGCTCCAAAGCTGAGCCATCCGGAGCTGTGTGCGCAGCGGTGTGGCCGGCTCTGTGGCCACCCTACACGCAGCCTGGGTCCCAGAGCCCCTGTGAGAAACGCTGAGGCAGCTGCTTTAAAGGTCACCCCAGTGATTACGTGCCCAGGAGACTCTCAGATGTGCGACACAGCTGCTGCTGTGAGAAGAGGGGAAGTATGCACCGAGCTGCGGCCGCTATTACAGAAGCGCAGGAAACCAAAACCTGGGGTGGGCGGAGGGGCTCGGGCGCTCTGCGGTGTGGGGACCTCACCCCCCTGCACTAGTCCCACGAATGCAAGCAGCTCTCAGAAATTAAAGAACAGGGAAGCAAAGATGTTTGGCCACCTGAGTCAGGCAAGCAGCTCTGCCTCTTCACTTCTCTGAGGAGGGCAGTGTTTGGCTGGAAGCATCTGGACATGCGATGCTGGGGGTCCAGCTAACCCAGTGCTAGTGTCTAATGGCGTGGAGGTGTCCCCAAAGCCGCACGCCTTTGGCTGTCTTGTCATCCTCTGTCAGTGAAAATGAGCCCTGCTGAGGCCCACGATGGTACCCACAGCTAGGTGGCTAAAGTGGGTGAGACAAGACCTCTCACCTTCAGTTAGGTGAGGTGAGTCCCACCAGCTGCTTTTAGACAGCCTTTGAATATAAAGGGAATATTTTAACCTGCAGCTGAAAGACTGCAAGAAGTGGTCCCCAGTGATCATTTAAAATCATATCAATGTGTATCAGAGATAGGAGCTATATTCAGAGCCTTAGCCCACTGTCACATGAAATGCCCCTGGCTATGAAGAAATGGATTGTTAGTAACAATCTTGCATCAAGTCTGCGCAGGCTTGCCCTGCAGGGCAGGCTTGTCCTCACTGCCATCTTGTGAAGCTGTGCCAAGGTTTACATCTCCAGCACACACCGCTGCAGCAGAGCAGGCTCCTCCAGAGAATTGGCTGAATTCTCCAAATTCTTTTGGTGGAAGATATAAGATCAGATATAAACATCTATTTTTTTTTTTTTTTTTTCAGTGGCAGCATAATTCTGCTGATTTCTGGGCTCGGCTCCACTGCTATGTTGACCTCTGGCTTTGAGTTTCCAGAGATTAAAAAGGGCAGGACAGGTCATGAGGAAGAGCCCTTGGTAGCAAAAAAATTAGCAGCACAGAGCCACAGTAGCAAGGTCTGTAGCTTCCGAGTCTACTTCCAGCCTGGCAGCCACTGCAGCTTCCCAGCACTGACCATCTGCAGTATGCTCAACCCTCAGCATTAACCAGACGTGAGTCATGCTCTGAAAAATGTTGAGGTGTGGTTTAAAGCCCAAGTTCATTTCTTTTAAGAACAAATGTTGGTCTCCTTTATGTACCCTCTGGTATGTAAGGTTTTCTACCTAAGAAGACTAGAAACTTCTCCTTACCAGCCCTCTTTCCCACATTGTCATGCCCTTTCAGGACCAAGGGTTATCAGGAAACAAACCAGGAGTTGCAGGAGCTGGCGGAAGTTCACAGGAGACACTGGGTGGCAAGCTTGGTGTTCCTGCAGCACTCTGCTGAAGCGACTCGCAGGGCGATGCTCCTTGACCAAACTGGCTGCCTGCAGTGGGGAGTTTTCCTAGAAATTATGACCTAAGCACATTTCCCACCCCCGCCTCCCTCTAACCTCCCCCTGTGCATACACTGAGATGTTCGTATTGGCTCTGTGCTGTGGTCTGGAGGCGCGCGAGTCTCCTGCCCAAAGATGATGCACAGAACCGTGCTGCTGTAAGCCTTCCTTGGAGCTGCTGCTGCTGCTGGCCAGGCAGGAGCTCCAGTGCACCAGCACAGGTTGGCTGGTGGTGCTGTGGGTGTGGGGGGGTTATGATGGGGCAGGACATGGGCTGTTTCAGCCGTTCCTACCTCCAGCCACGGTAGAAGAGGCCAGAGCAGGACTGGGCTCAATTGCCAGGCCAGCTGCAGCCACCGAGCTATGTATGTATGTGGGACGCTGACGGCAGAGCTGCTGTCAGAAGCTCCTGCAGGAGCTAATAATACCCGTGCTGGTCTATGGCGAGGCTGCCTGTTGCAGTAGCTCTTGAAGAGGTGTTCCCTGCCAGCCTTCCTCCAGCTTCTGCTAGATCCTGCTTCAGCAGCATTGCTAACAACATCACGGCTGGTGATTGTGCAGTAGGCACCTGCTGCCACCATCCCCTCAGCCCCTCCAAAAGTGACTGCTGGGGTGCATACAGCTTCCAGTTTAGCAAGCCGCCCAGTCCCCAACCTACCAGCCCTCACCCGCCCGCTGTACATAGCAGAGGTTCCCAGTGCCCTCCTTAGGGAATGCGTTTTGCCAGATCCCCCAAGGTACTGCTCTGTGGGAGGTGGCTCTGCAGCTCACAAAAGCACTTTCTGGGGCTCAGTGGTCCTTCATGTCCTGTCCTCTTACTGTGCATGTGGAAGAAGAGCAGAGAGGTACAGGAGAGCCCCAGAGTCTCAGCAGAAACCTGGTTCCTTGGTGCAGCTCAGCCCCTCCTCATTTCTAATGAGCAGATTTAGTACTGCTGTGCAAACCAAGCAGCGGGTCTAGTTGCTGGGGAGCTGCTGACTGATCACATGCCAAATTGTCCCCAAGTCCCACATACACTCCTTGCCCACTGCCTCCACCTCTTGTCTACAACATGTGTGCACCTGGGGAGAGACAAGATTTCTGGTACCAACTTTAGGGCTCTGGTAAATGCTTGGGGAAAAGGAGCTGGGAATAGTGCTCCTGCCCTCCTCCCCACCAATTTTCTTCATGGCTGAAAGGCCAGTGATTTGCTTTTTGCGATCAGACAGGTTGTGGTGTCCTGGTATTCCCATGAGGACTGAGACCTTCAGAGGAAAACACCAGTTGCCCCAGTGCTAGCGAGCACCCAGCTGGTGTCAGTTTGATGCCCACAAGGTCTCCAGCAGCTTCAGCTCCGTGGTGGAGGCTGCAATGCCACTGTGTGTGGTTTTGCAAATCTCCTTCCTCCTGTGCAAAGCATCATGGTGCAAAGTGCAGAAGTGCAAAGCTGCAGGGTTGGTACAACAAGGTGGTGGGAAAAGGTATCTTTCAGATAAAGTTAGTGCTATATGGGTCACTCCCCTTCCCTCCAGCCTGCCCCCCAGTACCAGCCTGCTTACATGCTGTTTAGACAGGCACAAATTTCCTGAGGTTCCAGCCAGATGCCTTAAGACTGAGGGAAAGCCAAAACAAAATAAACCCGGTCTAGCTAGGTGCTTTCATTTGCCAGAAGAGCCAAGCAGCAGCAGTGTGGTTCCCAGCTGAATCTTTCCTGCTGTATCAAGTTCAAATTCGTCAGGTATTACATTTCCTGAAAAGAGAAAAAAAAAAAAAAAAAGCAGAATAATTCACTTAGAAATAAAGAGTAGAGCTATTTTTCCCTCTGATACAGTGAATGCAATTACCTAAGGCATGGGAGGCTGAGATAACTTACTTATTCAGACCCCACTCTCCCAAGAAACCATCATTCTGTCAGGAAGGGCTTTAAAAACCAATCCACGTCGTGAATACTAAAACATCGCCACATTCAGAACCTGTCCTTGTAATTTCCATGTACCAGCTGCAGTATCACAAGCAAAACACACTGATAGGCAGGGCAGAGTTCATTATTATCAAGGCCGTATACACCATCCAAGCTCTTGTGTTTGCTGACCCTACTCTCAGTGTTGTTGGCATCTCCTTGTCCTTCAGGAGCAACTCCCAGCAAAGCAAAGCACACCGGCACCCTGTTAGCAATGTGTGAGCCACGCTGGGCCTGGGAAAGTGTGATGAGAGAAGAGAGTGCCAAGCTGTGTCTGTCTGGAGAGCTCAACGGAGGGAAACCATAAGCCTGTGCTTGCCCCTGAATATGATGCCATTTAGGTGACACCCTCCGTTCCCACCTTTGCTGCCATTATACAATGGGGAATGGAGTAATGACTTTCAGCAATTCTATTTGAATGGCAGCAGTCCAGTTCTGGACTGTATTTTTTTTTTTTTTTGTAAGTGGCGGGGGGAGAGTAGGTTGGCAGAGGGGAGAAAGCGCCAGTTTGGTTTGTCTGCAATCCTTGTTTTGCATTGGGAGCTTTAGAGGACAGACACATTTTTTCCATCTCCACTAATCCTCCTCTGATACAGGGGATTTTCCTGCCATTAAATGATAGCTTGCGAGAAAAAAATGCCAACTTTTCAGAGACTGACTCGTATGGCTAATGGCAGCATCATGAGCAGGAGGGAGGACACAGCCACTTCCCATCTAGGTAAGCAATGTATCTAAGATGATTTCTGTTGCGAATTTTAGTTTTAACTGGTTACACTCCTCTGTACCAGCACCTATTTCTTGGGCAGATGGCCAGGCTCTTACTGTTGGTGATCTTTTCCCACCTTAGATGATAGGAACCTGCCCTTGGCACGGCTGGGAGGAAGAATGCAGATGAGCTCGTGAAAAGGTCTAGCACAAAGCTGCAGGATTCCCTGAGAAGGTCAGTGGTGGAAGAAAGATACTCACCAGGAAGGTGCCGGGGATTTCTTCAGTTTGAAAGCGTGTGAGAGAGGAGCTTTTTCCTTGTTCTTCTTTTCTAAACATAGACCTTATTGTGGGAAAATGATGCAGGGAAATAACAGAGGATGAAACTTGTCTCTGGTCTTCCTGTGTGCTTTTAGAATCCTCAAGTTCACTTGCCAGACCTGAAATGCCACTAGTGAATAATCAAGGTAATGTTTGCCATCATTTTAAATGGTGAGTATACTCTTATTCTGCATTACCCAGTAGTGTATTAGACAGATCGTTCAGAAAGGTGCAGGTTAAATACTCAGTTATTGCAATCATTGTCTCTTTACCCTTCTGAAAACCGCAAACATTTTTTTTTTTTGGTCTCTCACTCTTCCTTTCAGATATTGAATTACCATAGTATTTAAAAGAGCAAAAGACATCATCCCTGGGTGGAATATTTTTATTCCTTAATCTCACAAATATTTTTGAATTTATTGCTGTATTTCACCCTTTCTCTTAAACACACATGTCATTTGAGCCCCCTCTGTGTTAATGAGTTGGAGGCATCTTCCACCTGCTGTCACGGTGTAAAAAGCAAAGATCGTCCTTTCTGGGGAAGAGGAAGAAGTAAGGAAGGAGAGGTGGGAATGTTTCATGCTATGTTGGTCAGAGGAGATCTGGCCAACAGCAGAGATCTGATCTCCTGTGCTCTGAGCAGCAGCTCTCCTGAGGGTTCGATGGGCTTCAGATGGAGGATTTTTTCTGACTACCTTTGCAAGAGAATGAGGGAGAATTGCCACAAAGACTGCGGTGCTGAGGGGCTCCTCTGGTCTCCTATTGCCAGGGAATCATGTTCTAGCTGGATGGTCTGCAAGTGTTTGTTTTCCATATACTGCAAAATGCAGAGATACACTCTTGTAAACAGAGATCTTAGGAGTGTGCTGCAAAATGCCACTAGCAAAAGACCCAGATTTGGGTCAAAACCCCATGTGTATAAGGAGAACAGGCTAGATATGGCTTGGGTACAGACATTTCCTTTATCAAGTGATTAGAGAACAAGCAGGGAGGAGAAGGATGGCATTTGGTTATCTGCATATTCATTCCTACACTGCACAGAGTGTACACAGCCGCTGGGGGAGGTCTGGTCTGGAGGCCAGAGATGTGACTGAGCTTGGGGTAGCTGTTGGTAAACACTGAACTTGCTTGGGTCTGTCTCACACATAGGCCAGCCTATGCACATATGCCCCTCTGGATGTCACCCTGAGCCCACGCAAGCCTCTCGTTCCAGCAGCAACACTTTCATCCACCCTTTCCAGACAGCCACCTGCAGTCAGACATTTGGGAACAGGCAAATCCTTAATCTGTCTGGCCCTCAGTTTATGTAACTGTATAACAAAAACAACATATGCCCCTGTTGGCAAGCAACAGCGGGCACTGGTGCAAAGGGTGGCAAACGAGGCGAACCCCTGGGCAGCCTGCATGGAGAAAGAGCGATCTGAGGCCAGCCCATTGCCCCCCCTTTTGTCCTTGGGCTCTTCACCTATCGTCTACCCAGGGCCCTGACTGAAGGGGACTTCCCTGTAGCTATGGCTGGTAGATAAGGGCTCAGGAAAAAGAAGAGCATACAAACAAACGACAATCCGTCTAAAAATCTTTTCCCTCCTCTCGGAGTCCTTCAATATCATTTATCCTTGAAGTGATGCTGTTTTGCTAATTCTCCAGTCACAATAATGTGGCCAGGCTTGATGGGACCTGAATTTTGATAAAGAGGCCACAGCCAAAGTCCTTCTGTGATGCTCCCTCCACATATCTAAATCCCTCTTCTACATGCAGTGACCAGGTTGGTTTGAACAGAAACAGGCTGGGAAGGTCCTGGGTTGATGTCCTATCAATGGGGACCTGCCCAGCGACTGGTTTTGCAAGTCTCCTGCTTGAAGAAGCCATGGGCAGTGTAAACTCCTAAATACAGTACTGTGCATGCTGCCTTTTAAAAAGATGGAGAAAGGGCAGAGCAATTGCAGTTCGAACTATAGTTTGGTCTGCAGCCTTAGGGGCTGCAAAACTAAAAGCTTGACACTTGCTGAAGCTGATGCTTCCTGGCATATCACCTCATGAATCTGTCTTAATCAAAATGTCCATTGGGAATACAGCTGTAGCAGGCAATTGCTGTGCTGCAAACTGGCAGGGCGAGGCAGCTTAGCTGCTCGGAGCTTTCCTCTCCAGACAGTCAGCTGGAGCACGGAGGAAAGCCTGTTCCTTGTCTCAGCCTTTGGGGCTACCAGGCACGCAGCAGCTGGGACATGATTCCCTGCAATGCTGTAATAAATGTGGCTGTTGGTAAAGACGGTATCTGATGTCTTGTTGAAAAAAAAATATAAACAGATTGTACTTACATTGAAGCCAATAAACTTCATCATTAAAAGGAGTCAGTAGCAATACCACAGTTTCCTGCTAGCGACTACATGGTGTGGCTTCTGTTTTTGTTGAGCAAGCAGGTAGGATGTGCCTTTAAGACCAGTTACAAAATGAGCTCTGCCTTCAGTTCTTCCTCTCTAATGAGTTTATTTCACAGACATCTGGTTGACTGGATGTTTTTTCCCCACAAAAATGCCTGTCCATGGAGGCTGATGCCTCCTGTTCTATTTGTTCTCTGATTTCTCTTTAAAAGCCTTCTCCTTCTCTTCCTTGTACATGCACCTGTGTGGGACTAATGTGAAAGAAACCACAATAGCTGCACACCTCCCATGTCAGGCTGATAAAAGGACAAAGTGGCTGCTCCCATCAAGCATAAGTCACCGTGGTGACTGTCTTGAGAACTGGCAAAACAGTAAAAACTGTGCCGAAGGCGCAGAGTATCTCATCTATGATGAGATCATGAAGAAAGCAGTTAATTAGTTTTGCCTCATGCTGTTCTACCAGTACACGGTGGCAATGTGTTTCTAAATGCTGTATTGCATCCTTAGGAGCTGATAGTTCCCCTTGCAGTGCTGCACCAGCTTATGGCTCTGGTGGAGAGATGTTATGTTGAATGAACAAAGAAAAGAAACAAAGAAAACAAATCAAAAAGCATGAATTTGACATGCCCCAGGCAACTAACTTATCTTCCCTGCCCACTGCCAGACCAGCATACACTGCCCTCCCCTCTTCCCCACCCAGAAATACTGCAACCCATCCACAGCTGCTGGCCTTCAAAGCATCTCTGCCTGCTTCTGGTCAAACCATGTCCCCATCAGCTTGCAGAGAGACCAATCACAGAGACACTGAGAAATACTTAAGTCTAGGTGAGTCCCCTTCTTGGGGAGAGAAATTAATCAGAGGTGAAGTTCTAGATGACATCATATACATACATATATATATATGTGTGTGTGTGTATATATATACATATATATATACACACACACACACCCTCCTCAGAGTGTTTAAAAACACCGGCAGAAGATTTTTAAGGAATCTTTCATGAGAGCTCCTTGGTCAGCACTGGCGTATATGTAGTGGATAGCAATTAGCCTGGCTAGAAGGGAGGAAATGATGGCATATTTTCTTTTTCCTGTCATGACTGTTATATTTGCTAATGATGAATCCTGATTCTCTCCTCCCACTCCTCCATGGGGACGGCGTGTTCCTCTCTGACAGTGATCCTTTGGGTCCCCCATGTGCATGCGGTATGGGCCTGTGTGCGGTCCTGCCCTGCACACTGTGTGTGTACCCAGGAGCGGAGCTGCTCCGTCCTCTGCAATCATGCCGGTCTGGGGCAGATCCCTAGCGAGTTCCCCTGCGAAGCCTCGTATATCAACCTGGACAAAAACAGTATCAAGTTCCTCTCCGAGAGGGCCTTTGGGACCTTGCCTTCCCTCAGATCCCTGTCGCTCAACCACAACAATATCTCCTTCATCACCCCGGGGGCTTTCAAGGGACTGCCCAGCTTGACCGAACTGAAGATGGCCCACAACGAGTACATTCGCTATCTCCACACACGAACTTTCACTGCCCTCAGACGCCTGGTGAAGCTGGACCTGGCGGACTGCAATCTTTTCAACATCCCGGACAGGATCTTCATCGAGCTGCCTGCTCTGCAGGAGCTCTTCTGCTTCCAGAACAACTTCCGGAGGATCCCAGGTGCCATCAGGGGCATGGAGAACCTGACCCACGTTTACCTGGAGAGAAACAGGATCGAAGCGGTAGCCTATAACTCCCTGCAGGGCCTGACCAAGCTGAAATACCTGAATCTGCAGGACAACAGGATAAATGTCATTCATGAGCGAGCTTTCCAGGGCTGCCAGAAGATGGAGTACCTGTATCTGAATGACAATTTGATCAGTGAGCTTCCAGAAAACTCTTTTGATGGACTGCGGTGCCTGAAGATGCTCAACTTGGGGGGGAATTTCCTCAGGAACGTTTCCAGCACCTGGTTCAGGGACCTGGGGGAGCTGGAGGTCCTCTACCTGGACCGCAACAGGATAAGCCACATTGAGGAAGGGGCTTTTGAAAACCTCACCAGCCTGGTTGCATTACACTTGAACAGCAACAACCTGACGACGCTGCCCTTTTCCGTCTTCCAGCCAGTGTACTTCCTTGGGCGGCTGTACCTCTTCCGCAACCCCTGGGACTGTGACTGCCGCATCGAGTGGCTGAAGGAGTGGATGGAGAATTACAGGCTCGTCAGGGATATTCCCTGTGCCTCCCCCTCCTCAGTAGCCGGGATTGACCTGATGGATGTGTTCTATGAGAGATCGCCAGAAGGTTACTGTCTTGACCCGGTGGAGCTCAACATCACATCTGAAGGCCTGACCCCAAGTGAAGAGCCTTGGTCTACCACAGAGAGCAAGTTCAACAGCCTTATCTCCAAACTCTTGCTCCAGATGGGCCTTCCTGAAGAGGTGGCAAACACCACCGAAGTCTACGGTAACGCCACGCAGCTGGATGGACTGATGCATGGTGTTTCTTCTGGGGTAGGAGAGGACAGTGTTGAGGCTGCCTCCTTCTCTTTTTATGTCCCAGCACTTTTAACAGTGATTATTTTGCAGCGCAAATAGTCCAAGGACTGCCTGGTGCATGGGTCCTGCTTAAGCGTTTAGTCCCTGTACCTACCTAGTCATTAGGGAAGAGTTTGTATTGTGGGCCTAGCAGATATATCTGGCTCCAAACTCTCCCAAGTTGGGTTGGTTGGATCTGTCTCCAGATTTCCCTGGGATCTGGTAAGATCTGGTTCAAGGCTGGGTCCCAGTCTGGTTGAGAAACCTGCTCAGGGGGGTCTCAGAGCCTCCTGGACACTCACAGAGCTGTGTAGAAGATGAACATTGAAAGAATGGCAGTAGGGTTGAGTTTTGCTTAGAGAATTGTGATGTCCTCTGCTGGGAATGGAGAGATGAGGGATCTGTAAGGATGGCAGTGCGGTGCTATTTATTTCATTGGGACAACTCATGTTGACCCAACCATTGACTTTATGAGTGCAAGACAAGGCAGCAACCCAACTGAATGTGGTTTTATTTTTTAATTGATATTTTGTTTCAAAGAATATATTGTTTATATTTGTAGGTTATTTCGTGGCATGACAGCAGGGACAGAACGTCGTGATGACAAATGCAACCAGGCTTTACTAAATATTTTGTATTTTCACCATTAATGTGTACTACATAACATGTCATATTATGCTGTACTAATAAACTATGCCATCATTTTCTTTTTTATGGCATCTTACATGTTTTATCTTTGAAATCTTCAGTGAAAGCTGCTACTGTGACCAGAAAGAATTATCATGTTTTCTCTATCAGAGTACATTAATAAAATAATTTGATATTATGCTCTTATAAATTAGCTGTTCAAAAAGCATATTTTTTTTTTTGAGATCCTTGAATTACTCTGCTGCTTTTTTTGTAGGCTACTCAAACGGGTACACATGAACGTCCTTTTTATGGTCTAGAGCAAACAGCAAGCTATCTATTGCAGCATAAAGAATAGACACTTTTACTTAGAACATGACTGTGCTTACATTTGTGTTAAGTAGCAACGCTTTAAAAAGTAAGTGACTATATAAAAATACACTTCTGTGATATTTTAGCTATATTCATTCATCATACATGGCTTATCATATTATGGTATACATGTTCATATGAAATGATATAACATATACAATCCTTTATTACTGCTAAAATGTTGTGAAATAGGAATAAACATGGAAATGAATTAAAAAAACCCTTTCAAACATTTTCCTAAACATTTTTTTTTTTTTTTTTCCCAACCCCTGCCTTTTCTTGAGCAATTCCATATGATTGTGACCACCACTCCTGCCCCAGCTCGGTCCCCACAGGTGCTGAAGCAGCAGCAGCAGAAGGTGAGCTTCCCTGGCTCATGCTTTGCTAAGGTAGTGGTTCAGTATGGACAACACATTGGCTAAAAGTGACTGAGGGCAACTGTTCTTGCCTCTGCCCCTTCCCCCCATCACACATAGGTGAGGACCCAAAAATGTATGCAAAGGACAGGCCACCTGAAGATGGGCTTCAGGCATTGAACGACTGAAAAATGGTGGGCAATGTACAAATTTAACACATGAAGACTTTTTCTTAGCAGCTCCTGTTCCCTCTTACATGTGTGATTGTCTGGGAAAACTGGGGAGATAAATAAACTTTTTCAGAAAGGGCTCAGTGCTTCAGCAAAGGTGCCTTGGGTCGGGTCTGTTCACACCGGTGGGGCCAGGCCAGCCTGGAGCAAGAGTTAATGCCCTCTGGCACCCCATTGTGTCTGTGAACAACCCCAGGGACCGTCCCACAGCCCTGGACTCCTGGAGCAGCTGCCACGTGAGACAGGGAAGCCCCTTTTTTTGCCTTCACATTTTGCCAGCAAAAAGGTGGCACCTCCAGCATCCTCATGACACAAGCCTTGGGGCAGCCCGCCTTGGTCTGCGGCACTCTGTCCAAAAAGATCTGCTGCTGTCTAATTTGCACCAGTGATTTCTAGAGGAAAGCTGAGTACAGGGAAAACTGAACCCTCCCTGGTGTGATGGCTCCTCAGCAATCTGTAGCTCGACCAGTTTTTTTCCCCAGGGAAAAAAGATGCCAGATGGTTTGATAAATGCCTATTTGACCTGTTCTGTGAACTAAATTCAATAAGTTTGGATTTTCAGGCTATTTATGAATCCATTAATCTTCTTAAGTGCTAAATTCATCTGTGCATTATAAAAGGCTGTTTTTCAAACCTAGTCCAGTCCAATGCTGTAGAGGCGTATTATGTTAAGGATGCCTTTACAGGAGCAGTATTTCATCCTGTCAGGGAAGGTTTATCACTAGGCTTGACACAGATGGTGGGACATTGGGCACAACTGGTTGTATTTCACTTCCTGTAAGTACGGATGCCTCATGAGTGAATTGTTTTTATAACTCACATTTTCATTTTCTGTGCTGAAATACATTAAAGCTGAAGATTGTCTTACTCTGCAGTTACTGAATATGGCTTTTAAGTTAATTAGTGCTTCAAAGATGCTTCTGTTTTGTCTGCAAGAATGTCAGCTCTGAATGTGAAGCATCTTAAAATGTAGGTTGTAGCAGAGCTTGCACTGTCAGGTGACAGACAAGGGAACTGTATGTCATACTTTACTGTGTGACAGCGGGATCAGTGACCTTGGGCATCAGTGATTTAAATTTCTCCTGTGGTCAAATGCAAGCAAATACAAATACAAGCTGTCCTGGTTGGGGCTGGCCTAGAGTTCCCGTCGGTCTGGCAGCGGGAGGAGCTGCAGCCCCCTGAGACCCCAGGGGCTCCCCAGGTCCCAGTGCCCTCACCTGTGTGCGGGGGCGGGGGGAGCACAGCTGGAGGGCTGGGCCCCGATTGGCCAATAGTCCATGTCATGTGACATTGCGCTCACTATATAAAGGCAGGAGTGGGCCAGGAGGGGCTCTCACTTCTGGGGGTGTGGCTGTGGGGCCTTTGTGTTTGGGATCACTGGCTGGGAGCAGGTGGGTGTTGGTCGGCGGGTGGTGAGCAGCTGTATGGTACATTACCTGTTGATACTGCTGTCAGTGTATCATTCTGTCACTGTTATTAAACTGTTTTTATCTCAACCCGCGAGTCTCCCTTTGCCCCTCTGATTCCCTCCCCGTTCCCAAATGTGTGGGGGTGGGTGAGCAACTGCGTGGCGTTTAGCTGCTGACCAGGCTCAAACCATGACACAAGCCCAGCTGAGATGCCAGTCTCTATACGCTGGTTTGCTCTCCATGCACTGGTGAGGGCAAACCCCTAATGGCCTGACAGCGATGGGGTGAGCATTTCATTGATACTCGTGTGGATGTCTTTCAGTTGAAGTGACATAATTCCATGTGTCTGGGAGGACGTTGTTCTAGCTCTCACCCCGACACCCTTTCAGCAGGGTCCCAAAGCTACAAAGTCATTGCCCTGCACAGACTGTGCATCCCTGTCCCAGGTCAGACATACCAGTAAGGAAACCTTCAAAGAATTATGATTTTTTTTTTTGACTGATACGTTGGTTTTGATGGCATTGACTGCCTGTAACCTAGAAAGCAGAGAAAATGGCTGAAAACTTCTGCCAAACCAGTGTGTGTTTGGACTGACTACAAACATTTTTGGCAAATCCCCGTCTGGGAGGGTGATGCGGGTGCTCTCCAGTCCTGTCCTCAATGTGAGTGGCTGGGAATTTACTTACAGCAGTGGGGAGGGATGGTCATGAGTTGCCTGGTGTTACGATACACCTTCTGACTGAAGTTTATTCAGCAAGCCAGTGTTCCCAGACCAAAGCATATGAGGTCCTGCGGGAAGGCAATTTGTTCTAATGTATGGTACCTGTTAACACAGTGCTTCACTGGTGCGACTGTTTTTTATGCTTTAAAACAGTTGGTATTAAATTAGAAGGGAGAAGTGCTCAAAGTAAATAGGAAAAAATAAATTATCTTGTTTTGGATATCATCTTCTGGTCTTAGAATTTTGCACCCATGTTGCGTTTTTAGGGGTCATGTTTGGCATAAACACTCTTATGCTCCTTTTTTTTTTTTGCTTTAAATTTACAGCTACTGCCAGTAACCTCCTGTGAAGTGTAGCTATTTGCTATTTTGTTTATCTTGTAGATTCTTTTGTTGCTTTTCTGCTTTGGAAAGTAATATGAAGTCCAAGGCAAGAGGAATCACTATAAATAAAGATAACTTTTGTTACAAAGGCAGCAGATGCTGTCCAGCTGAGTCTCGGGAACTTCATTGCCAATTTTAAAGTGGGTCATTATATATTTTAGCTAAATCTTGTCTTTACAACATCTGGATGCTATCTCTTAAAAAATGTAAATCTTGATTTGTTGAGTTTTCCCCTGATAATTTTTGTGGTCAAGTATTCAAGAGAAACCAAATCAACTGAGTTAAAGTTTATTCCAGAAAACTGCTCTTCCTCCTTTGGAATATCTGAAGCCTGGCTAGACAATAGCCTGTAATGATCACTGCTGCCCCAGTGTGAGCTTCAGAAGATGGGCTAGATGGATAAGGAAAAAATACTTTCTAGGTATATGAAGCATACCCTTCTAAATGCCTGCTTTTATAGAGTCAAGGTATGGGTTTGTTGCACAAACGCTAATAATATTGGTCCTTCCTTTCCCCCAAACCGAATCTGACAGAGACCCATGGAGTTTGAAGAATCTGTTGCAGTGACCTCCAAATCAGTTTTAAAAGAGCTTTATGGAAAACGTTAACTATGGAATAAAGACCATAAAAATAAATAATAAAAATAAGAAGCATCACAATTATTACTGCAAAGAAAAACATGTAGTTAATTTTTTAAGCATAACAAAATAATCTTAATACTGAAAATGCATGAGGTCTAAGAAGCAACTGTGTCAAGGGACACTACCAAGTGGCCAGCTGTTGGACCTGATGAAGAAGCACCTATAGGTCAAAACCTAAACATGCACAAGATCAGCAGTAAAAGGTCTCTTTGTCTTGGAGCAAAGCTGGTCTTTTAAACAAATATAAATATGAATACAAATATGGCAAATAAATAGATATTTCTGGACAGAGTAGATGTTGCCCAATGGCTGCTTCTGTTGACCCTGTGGTTACTTGAACCAGTTTGATCTTGTAATCTGTGGTTAGTTTTAGCCTTGAATGTGAAAAGTTCATTACTTCTGCAGTTTTTCTCACCTTTGACCTTCACCACATCCTTTGTTTTTTTTTTTATTGTACTTCCCTCTTCATCTCTCTCTTAAGGACTGATATAGAGTTAATTCTTAACTGGTGCAGCGTAAATCTTAGATTCCCGATGAAGAATCCCAAGACATTTTAAAGAGACCTACAACTTCATTATCTTTACTATACTCACTGGTCCCATTGTTCACTTTACATGCATAACCTATTTATTTGCTTTTTTGGATTAACAGCTAATTGCACTTCATGCTTGTTCAGCATCTAAGATGGGGGTTTTGACCTGTAACAGGAGCTTCTTGATGTAGCTATAGGATGTTTGCAATAAGACAAGCTTAAGCTGTCCTTCTGCCCCCTCCCTCTTTACCCCACCCTCTTTTCCCCGTTTGCGACTGCTTGTTCTTGTTCCAAGACAAAACTTGCCTGTGCCCTCATCGTGCTGCTGCAGCAGGGCTGGCTGTGCTTGACACTTGTTCACTGAAATGTCCCAGTTAAAAGCAACAGTTGCCTCCTCCCTCTTTTTTGATGGTTAAGAGCCCAACTTTTTCCCCTTAAATTTTATGAGTCAAGATGGGCATAAGTAGGTTAAACTGGGGACCATAAGAAGAAAGTGTAATTGCTATATCTGAAAGAAGGTCAAGCTAAATTGGAAAGATCAAGCTCGATTGCTGGTTTGCACTGTATGATTTAGTTGTGCTGGCATGGATCTGGTGCGAAAGTACAGGGAGAGGTGTCCTCTTTTTTTCAGGACCCAAATTAATTAACAGTTGAATTTAAGAAACACTTCATCAAAATAGGCCCTACACTATAGTTTAAGACATACTGTGAAAATGTTCTTACTCTAGGACTTTTGTGATTAATTCTTGTCATAACTTAGTGCAAACAGGTTTTTTTGAAGGTGACATCATTGCAGCTTGTCTACCTCCTCCCCCATCTCCCCTGAAACAATACATGAGCAGCCTCTGAGTTGGTTACTTATGTGCTTTAATTAAAACGATGAGTAACAAGTAAACATCTAATAACTGCTCAGATTTGACTGCGTAC